TCGCTAAATTGCCTTTTTCTTTATCATCATGAAAGGTTGCGATGAGCTAGAGGTATGACCAGAATAATCAGAGCCCCATCACATTGTCTCGAAGGAGTTGTCATAAACGTTGGTGGCATATGATTAAAGCAATCAAAACCCCACTACAACGACACACAAGCACAACCCAAACCATCCTTAAAATGGAAAATAACCAATTTACCCCTTCCACCTCCCCCAACCCCACCCCACCCTACCCTTCTTCATAGCTAGCCACTTTAAGAACATGGTAGGCCCACTAATACGTAGACCTAAAACTAGATTTACACTTGGAGGCAAGGGAAAGGGTAATGACCCTAGGTCGGGTACATTCCCCAAAGACGTCCAATAAACTTTGAGCACAAAACTCGGAAGCAAAGAGTTGAATCCTAGAAAATAAAGATGAGGACTCAGAGCTATAAACAACACACATGAAAATATTAAAGTCACACAAGTGTGAGACTCAAGCAAGTTGTCCTAAAAAAATTATAACAACTAGCTATCTAAAGAAACCATATCTCCCTCTTTAATGTTATGGTTAAGATGGACCTGATCCCGATAAATGAGACCAATCGGATAGAAATATTCCACCTGATTAAGTGCATTCAAAAAACCAAACCCGGCAATAGAGAAATTGTCTTGTAGTAACTTGGTCAGTTCCTTGTAAAGAGAATGATTCCCTTCATGTGTATTGTTAAGACCAACCTCGATCTTCTTTTGATTCTCTTGAGACTCTTTAAAAGAATTCTCCAGTGCTTTGTTCCCTTTTAGGGAAAACTCTAAGGATTGGGTCGCCTCTTTTAAGGCTTGATCCTTCTTAGCCACCCCCTGAACGAGTTGCTTCACTTTCAACCAGAGCTCGGGATACCCAAAAGGCTCAAAAGGAGTTTTTATGGCTATAAATGAATTGGAAGCACCGTGGACCTCTTCCAGATACCCGTTCCACTCAAGGGTAAGATTATTGACCCATTGTTTAGTCTCTCCCTCTCTTGACAAAGATGATCAAGTAAGGAAACTTCTCCCTGGACGGTAACGCCAAAAGCTATAACAACTAATAATTGATGGCAGTGGTAGTCCATGTTAACGAATTCCTTTGAAAAACCTCCTTAGAAATCCCACAAAATTATGAATATTCCTCATCATATTATCGAAGAAAAAAATATATATTTGTCCTCAAACCAGGGTGGGCCAGTAACACAAGATTAGAATCCCCCCACAAATCGTTTTGTCCTTCTACAGGTCGGGGTCGACGACACTTATTAAGGGAATCCTCGTTTTGAACTCCCTCCGATTCAGGAATAAAAGATGATATTTCCTCCCTTCCTTGACAATGAGACAACAAATTTTCCTCTCCCATGACAGAAATATGAGAAGCTTGAATACCACCTGCAACCTGGGGGACAATGACTTGAGTAATATGTACAACCACTAAGATAGATGTGCTAGAAAAATATACTTCCCCAGAGAAGGGTATGTTTTGAATCATAAAAATAGAAGCGGAGGCCCATATTTCCTTCTTCAAATGCAACATATCATCTTCACTCTTTATAGCATATATAAAAACAAGAAGACGTTAAAAGGAGAACGAGAAAAAGAGGTAAGAGGGACAAAATCCTAAAATCAATTATCAAATATTTTCTTCCTTTCATCGTCAGACTTAGCATCCACAAGCCAACTAGTTTGTGTTGGTGAAGGATATGGGGATCGAATGGTATATAGGAGTTGAAGAAACATTTTCCTTAAAACCATTTTAAAAAAACATTTCATTTTAAAATATCATAGTTTTACAAACAAATGCTTGGATTACATGCTCTAAGGCCAATTATTAATATCATGGAAAAAAATTACAAACTGAAGTGAAAGATAGTAACAGTTTTGTAAAACATACGATTAAATGGATATTACAGTTAACTTAGACTGTCAGTAATCAAAACAACTGAGAAATGTGAATTTTATTAAACAAAAAATTAAATAATTATCATAATTCAATTTTTACATAAAGCTCAAATTGAATTTGATTAATTGAATTATCAATCTAACAACAAGAGTTCATACAACAATAATCGCAAGAGAGAATGTTCAAATTACTAGATCTATCAGAGACCTAAACTTTAATCACAAATTGCTACAACAAATAAATCCTAACAACATGTTATTCTATGAAAGCAATACAAACCTAAACATGCAAAACTATGCATAAAATGAGAGAGAGAGAGAGAGAGAGAGAGAGAGAGAGAGAGAGAGAGAGAGAGAGAGAGAGAGAGAGAGAGAGAGAGAGAGAGAGAGAGAGAGAGAGAGAGAGAGAGAGAGAGTACACTAAATATATAGCGGTTCAATTTTATCATCTTCGCAGGAGCTTAGTCCAATCCTCAAAGGTTTCCCAATGAAAATTATTTTCTTCCACTATAAAATAATATGACAATTGTTTACAGAAATTATACAGCCACTTAATACAAGATACTCCTGAAATAATTATTCTTTTTATCTTGATCCTCTCTTGCTATATATGGTTCCTGCTTTTCCGATCTTGCAAGATCCACCTAATCTTAACTCTTTCAGAATCAATAATTTTGTCAAGCCTCCATTTTGCAGCAACCTTTACTCATTTCTATCAGTCCCTTGAACATTGATTTGTCTGAAGAACACATAAATTTTGACTTTGTTTGTAGGCTTCCACACAAACTCTACTAAAGTAGCATGGAGAAAAGAATTCTTCTTTTTCTTGTTGGATAGCCAAACTCCAGTTACACCACACAATCTGAATCTTGACCTTTAACTCAAGAAGTTCACAAATATAAAAAAAAAATGAATCTCTTATACAATAGATATCACATTCTATATGAATTAATAAGCAAATGATGTTAATCTTGATAAAGGTTGAAGATGAGTTCAGATACAAAAGATATATGTGAAAATATGTTCTTTGAAAGTGGGTTTCCATGTTTTTAGAAAGACTTTCAAAGTTATGATTATCATCACAATAATCACTTAATCTTAATGGTGAGGGAGAGAGGAAAATGATTTATATAGGTGCTTGAGATTATGCACAAAAGTGATTTAAAAAAATGATGTTTGATACGAGTCATAAGCACATGTATGATTTCAGACAAGTAGAAAGGTAATTTGGAACAAGATCTACATTTATAAGAAATCCATTTCATCCCTAGTTTTAGTCATGCAGAATGTGATTCGAGTCAAGACTAAAGTCATGATTCATGACATGAACCGTCTGATTCAAATCAAGCATGTTAGAGGCAAATCCTGAAGTTTTCATCACTTCATGATTCGAGTCAGGAACAATGTGATTCGAGTCATAGAGTTTTATGATTAGAATCGTGAACAGTATGAGTCAAATCATGACAGCAAAAAATTCATGAAAACCATTGTTTCATTTGATTCGAATCATAGGATGTGTGATTCGAATCACACACCTAAAATCTCAATTTTTTTCCAGTTTTAAAGATGCTTTGAGATTTTAATAATGTCACGACTTGAACTAATATCAAATATGGTTCTTGATCCAAAAACTTAATTATTTGACTTAAAGCATATTGCTTGCACTAAAAAACAAACATTTTGGTTTATGTATGCAAAAAACACGACTCAATGTAAAACACCATTTAAAAAGCATTGCACTCACTTCTAACATATTTGCAAAGATCTAAATAGAGGAAATTCAATCACGAAAGTGATAAATGACAAACGAAAATAAACAAGACAAGCAATAAAATCAAAGCCCTAAACGGAAGAGCAACTTTAGTTTAGATACACATTTTCATCCATGTTATGGAAGCCATGTCATATAGAGTTACTCCGCCCACATAACCAAGTCCTTCATGAAAGATTACCAATTGATTTTTCAAGTATAATTATTCCTCGTATAAGTCTTCCTCTTGGTAATGATACATCATGACTCTAGTTAAAAACTAACTTAAGTCTAGTATTTGTCAAAGTGATTTGTGCATGAAGGGATAACACCCAGCTTCAGATGACAACATTTTGCATAAGCCTCGTTAAAAGGGACAACCAAGAAGAAACTATTCTTAAAATGTTTCATGGTGTCGAAGTAAGTCTCAAAATATTTACCATTTTGTCTCAAAGAAAGAAAACTTTAACCATCGGCATGCTTAGCGACATTTTGTACCTTGAAAAGATGGAAAAACAATGTCACCGTCGGCTTTCTCCCCTTCCCCTTGTATTCACACCAATGTTGAAAAACATTGACAAGCACCCAGCTCACAAGATAAAAATGTGAAGGGGCAATGAGTAAATGATTCAAAACACATATCTCAAATTTGTTAAAGGGGTAACCAATATGGAAGAATAAGCATTCATGAAATGGGATTGCATACTCACTATATTGGCCACAGATTCTTTGTCCCTCGTCTGGGAGAAATACACCCCCAATCTTTTGGATGGACCACATCAGCAGTTGTATGAGCAAAACCGTCGGCACGAGAGAAGACAAAGACAGGTTCTAGTATTTTCGAATTCACCCAAACTCCTAAAAATTTGCCTAAGATATTTTGTGGCCGTTTTGGAGGACCAACTTTATAGGAGAACAACTCATACCTTACATGAAATAGTTTGACTTTATTTCATCTTTTGCTATTGAAATAGTTTATACACAAGTACTAATTTGGCTATATAACATTTGATAGAACTAATTTGAGTTTCTCTAATCCTGGTTACATTGCAAATAACTTACTATTATCTTAATTTATTCCAAAGCTTTTTTTATTGGATGATTTACAAGCCTAGCTTGAAACTATGACTAGCTGTTGTTTAATAGAGTCTCGGGTTTTTCGTCATCTTCCATCTTGTTGTAGTTCTGAATGAGTAATATCTGCATTCTCCTTCCTTAGATTCTTCATATGAACTCATTTTCACTGCATATCATTTCCATTTTCTGTGGACTTTTTCCAAGTTTCTATCTAACTTTCCAAGAAAAACATGTGTGATTCTCTACTACCAGCATTACCTCAAATCAGCGGCCATGTCTTCACTATAAACATAGAGATTGTAGCAACTAGGAGAAACATTGTTTCTTGTAAGGGCAAGATAATAATACTTGAAGAAGAACTGTCTTGCTGAACCTTCTCGTAAGGAAAGTCAATTGATGGCGGTGGTGGTGAAGGAAATGCGCCATTTGGTTTGTTAATCCTGTTGCAATTCAAAATGTTGAAAGAGAGTTAGAACCATAGATGAGTTTACGTGTGTGTTAACAACAGGGACATGTCTAAGCTTAGATGTGTCTGTGCTTCATAGGTTTTTGTTTGCTAGTATCTGATACATGTTGCACGATAAATTGAAAGAAAATGGAAAACTCGTGATAATATTTGAGGGAGAAAATAAACATATACTTGGTACTGGTAGGACAGAACACAATGTCATATTCATAAGCTTTGCAGGTGAAAGTGCTGCTTCCATCATCAAATGCATAGCTATAAGCTCTTGGACAAGCCTTCTTGAAAATTGTGGAATAATAGGAAGGTTGGCATATTGTTGGATTAGCAAATTGTCCACTGCAGCAGTACTGATCTGATCCAAATGCTTCACAGGCACTCTTACAACCAATTACACTACCTTGGTATCCATCACCATCAACTACTTGAAGTTCTTTTGGACAACCTATACAATTGGAAAATTTGAATCAAAAAAGTATATCAATTATACAATCAGGACTGTTTTTGAGGGCATATAAGGTGAGTTATCGCACAGGGTTCAAAAGGGTTCAAAATTTAACATTGTTAAACTGTGGTTAAAAAAGATCTCATATAATATTTGTCACCGGTAAACCTTGGCAAAATAGAGCCCTACTTGTTTTGCCACATTTAACCCGTGGCAAACCTACACGGTGCACGTACTCTCTAAAAATTTAAGACGGCTCGGTACACAACCATGACAAATGAACCATGTTATATACTTAATGGCCTCATTAGTTTAGAACTCGTACCTCTGTTAAGATCAGTCACACAACCTGTAGAATTACAGGCACTTTTACCATATACACCTCTTGGTAGAACAAGCAATGGCAAATTGTAGCCATCAACCATGCTAACATCATAGTAATCTTGTTGGTTACCTTGTCCAAGTGTAATCTCAAAGAGTGAAGTTGGTGGAGCCGCACCATTCCCGTCACATTCAAGCCTTCCACCGCAATCACCTGTTTGACATTTCCCAATTCCTGTTGCATCAAATGTGCAACCGGTCCTTGCCCATATCCGACCTGACCAACCAGGAACACTAGTTAGTTTCACAGCTTGACCTGAGTCAAGCTGGAATCCGGTCGTAGGAAGCGGCGGCGTTCCTGCGCCGGCAAGCGTGCCGGGCCATATAGTATATGGACAATTGTTTGTTATGGTGAATATGTTAGAGAAAGTGCAAGATAACAAAGTGAAAAGAACAAAAAAGAAACATAGGAGTTTCCAAGGTACAACTGTTGGCATTATCAATGATTATAGTTGTTTGTTGTTTTATGGTTATAAAAATAGAAAAGATTGACAACAGAGGATGTAGAAATAATAGACTTATAATGTTTCTCATATTTGTAATATAAAGTGTTTGTGTGATATGCTGTGATGATGAATTATGAGTTTCTTTGGTATTAAAAAAACCAAAACATTACTTTGCTTTGATGTAATTCTTAGCCGCAAGACTAGCTTTTTAGGTTTAGTATTTCTTTTTATTGTGGATACTGGATAGCCTAACTTAGAAGCAATTCTTTGCCTTTTCTATTTCATTGGAAAAATGAAAATCTAAAAAAGGAAATCTCTATGAAAGAAATCTAAGATAAAAGAATCTAGTAAAGAAAAGGGGATTCGATATTGCAAAAAGATGGCAAGTTGCACAGAATTATCCTATAAAGAAGTGACCTATTATTCCTCACAGAAAGTATATGGAAACTTGTTATGTATAATATGCATAATATTTTCCAGTGGTGGAACCATGGCGGTCACACGTTTGGACGACCGTGGACACACATTAAGGTCGCTATCACTGTGATTTTGAAGACCGTGGACACACATTAAGGTCGCTATCACTGTAATTTTAAAATGCTGGTATGTGTAGTTTTTGTTGCACCGTGATTTTTCAAACACACAATTAGTATTATTCAAACTACTCCCTTTGACATCTTAGTAGCGACTTTAAAACATTGACATATAACAACGGTTGAACTTTAATCATGTGAGGTAGTAAAGAATAACTTTTCAATTGAAAATTTGATTATGACCTCAATTATTATCAATTCCTCCCGTTGGAAGACTAGACCCACCTCACAAACTTCTGGAACAAAGCTGGTAGAATTTTGAATTCAATTTTTTAGCTTTAACACCCACATGAAATACTAATAGTAAAAGAAAATTGAAACTTTTTGGCACATTTTAATTAAACATCCCTAATTTTATATCATTTTTTGGCAAAGGAAAAGAATTTCATTGATTGGATACTTACAAGAAACAAGGTATGAAATAGAGACATCAAAGTTGAAAAAAATGATGATATTTATGATCTTCTAGCTTCACAAATATGCTAAGAATGTAACAGAAGTATGAAATTCAGCTGATGCCTTGAACAAGGCAATTCAGATAAGTTACATTCAATCCTTGAATTCAAAAACAGACTATTAAGTTGTCTTAAGTTTTTGAAAACCCTGTATAGGTTAACCATGATTATCAGCCTTATTTAATCATGGTTTAACTCTAACAAATCTATTATGAGACCTTATTTAACCATAGTTTACTGTGATAAATTTGAGGTCATGCGTTGTAACTCATCTTGCACACCCTCAAAGGAAACCCTACTTTCAATCCTTGAACACATTATGCAGATATTTTTGGGGACAGTGATAATAGATTTCTTGGTGAGGGCAACCCGTTGTAACTCATCTTGCACACCCTCAAAGGAAACCCTACTTTCAATCCTTGAACACATTATGCAGATATTTTTGGTGACAGTGATAATAGATTTCTTGGTGAGGGCAACCCTTTATTCGCTCAATTTCACCTCACATTCTACAAGAAATAGATCATATATAATGGAGAAATCAAACACAATGTGGTCTGAAATTTCAATGAGAATGAATATTTAAGATCAGCGCTACCTACTTTATCAGCCTTTGATATAGTGTCATAACTGCTTCTGACTCAATTCTTTTGACATCTTCTGGCGTCAAAATAGCCTTTAACTCTTCACCGCCACCGCACCATTCTCCAAACTTCGGCAAAGACTTGCAATGCATGTACCTACATCAAGAAAATGAAATATTTATCAGTATTTCATGTCATTATCACATAAAGAAAATCGATATCATAAGAAATCATTCAATATTGCAACACAAATATTTTGAAGGCACCTTCCTAGCACATATGCTTCAAAACCTGCACAATTTACATTCAACTCACACAGCCATTTGTCAATCAATTTCTAACCATAAAAAAGAACAAAAATTCAATTCAAAACAAGTTTGAATGAAAACTAGTATCATCTCCTTTGAGCCTGTAACAGAGGAAAAGTTAGTAAACCGGCCTTCATAAGAATCCAAAAACTTGCATATGAAGAACTGGATAGAACCTGAGTTATCAGCAGGAACAAGATCGATACTTTTTTCTGTTTTAACAGAACCATAGTAAATAAAAATGGAAGAATACACAAGTGTGCCACTCTAATACTAGAATATGGATGCTCTGTGATTACAGATACATGAAGAAAATGAGAAACGTATCTAATAATTACATCAACCAGGTCCATATAAATTAAAGCATTATAGAATGCCGGAATATATCCTGTGGTAAGCTATAAGAGTCGGATTCTCGGTAAGTTAGCAAGAAACGGATTTCAATTCAAGTCTCATAACTGTTTACACACAGCCTGCTCAAATCTCCATTCAACAGTCAAGCTACTTAAAATACTGCTCAAATCTCTTTATACTGCATTACATTATTACTAGAAACGTAAATACGACCTACGGCGAACGGGGACACATCATGTCCACCATTCGGCGATTCATAAGTGTTCAAGTTCAGTTATGGATACTCATCAGTAATAAAGTAAAAAAAACGAAAAAAAACGATAAAGATCTCCTTCAGTTATATGAATCTCGATATCTAATTCGTATCCATGCCGTCTCCAACTTGGCTGCAGATAGGACTGACAGCAGAGAAAGATCTCTCAAAAGGAGAAGGATGGAACTGTGCATCCCGCCTACGCTTACAACCGATGTTATCAACAGGCGCACTCTCCGCTGCGTCAAGCTTCCTTCGAACACCTCTCACTGCCTGTTCTTCTGTAGGAGTCAGGGGGAAAATCTGACGACTTGCTCGGCAAACGGAGCTATGGTTATCATACAGAATTCTCTGGTTACAGTTTTTATCACAGATGTGTGTCAGCCCTGTGAGCTTGCAGCGAAACATGTTTCCGCAAACACGTTCGTTCTGGCATTTCCAGTCGCATTTGTGAACAGAACTCGGACCATCATGGCCCAAAATACTTGACAGATAAATAACATTTGAAGGAGCTGCTACCATAGAATTTCCATATACCTCCATTTCTTGAACCCAAATAGAATCTTCCAAGATTTCAATCTAATTTCACTCCAACTTTACCGCCTTCCCTGAATCGTCTGCAGGGCCCACCACAACAACACAGAATTCAGTCAAACTCAACAGAAACTCATCTGCTTCTGTCTAATTACTTAACTCATACACTAATTCCACTTTAATTTCCTTCTAACAATAAACTAATCACAAACTTATCTACACCTAATTATTTCATTTAAAAATTAATTGTCTTAAAATTAAAAAAGAAAATTGCTTACAGAAATTCAGATCTGAATCCATTAACCTAACACAGAATAAACAATCTTTTATCAAATGAGAGATATCCAAATGGATTCTCAACAATATCTAATCACAAAATGACATATAAAATATCTGCATATTTTTATACCATCATGTCCCTCTCATGCCAATAAGACAAACCCTAAATATCCACATGTGGTAGATCTAAACCAGTACCAAATCATGATTAACAAAACAAACAACATAATTAACACAAATCATAAAAATAATTAAATATTTTCAATAAATTGTAATAAAAATATATTAAAAAAACTGTATTCAGAAAAATTATGAAAATTAAAATAGAATTGTAACAAACTAATATCTAAAAGAGAAAATGAACTCACATGCTTTTGAACAAAGTCAAGCTACAAAGTCTTCTTCCACAATATACCTACAAAAACGAAGAAAGAGAAAGAAAAAAACCTAACAAATACACAGAAATTAATAAGAAAAGGAAGAAAAAATTCTCAACACACTCTCTCTCTCTTCTCTCTCTTCTCTCTCTGCACCTAAACCGAACTAACAAAATGGAAATTAGCAAGGAAGGAAGAGGAATGGGACCGAGTATTTATAGAAAGTAATCCACTTACGGACACTGTGGACTTGTTGGTGGGACATATAGCGATATAGGACAAAACTAAATGCGTGCTAAATTTCGGGTAAATTTGATCCAAATGCGGAATGTGTTGAAATCGGGTCGGGTTACGTAAGGTGTCAGTGTTTCCATCTATTTTGGATTAACTATCGGATCCAACTCCAACGTTTTTTCTCAACCTGTCGCTTTCTTATTTCTTTTTATTAAATTAAATAATACTAATAATTATATCATTTTCTTCATTATAAGTTTCGTTTAAATTTTAAAATTTTACGCTTTTAGAAAGATACTTAATTGTTTTATAAAACAGAATGATTATTATTTTTAGATTGAAATAATATAAATGAAAAATAATTATTAAGGAAAACTAAAATATGTTTATACTAATGGTAGTAGTTGAAGGTAGTTGTGATGAAAATTCAAATAGTTAAGTCAACTATTTAATAATATGAAAATATGATTGAAAAAATAATTAATTTTGATACAGCCGATTTACATTTTTTATAGCTCATAATTTATCATTTATACGACTTTTGATTGATATAGATATTATGTTTGTCCTTATATATAATATCAATTTAACAATGTGTAGAAATAGAAAATGAAATTAATTGTGGCATAACAATTAATTTTAATCGTCAAACCTTTAATTATATTTTATTTTTTAATTTTAATTATATTTAAAGTAATAATAATGAATAATTGTGATAAGTTGAAAATGTAAAAATATATATATATATATATATTGATAATATATAATAATTAATCAAATAAAAAAATTATAGTTAGTTAGTAAAATTGTCACTCTATTTTAGAAATTATCTGACAACCAAACTTTTTTTACCATTTAAGTAGCTTATTGAATGATATTTTAGGAGAGAATTTATTTTGGTAATTTTTTAAAATATTTCAGGAAAAATGGAATTACTTTAGTTTTTCAAATTTTTAAAAGATTATCTACAATCTATATTTTATAATTTGGACTTTAATTGATTTATAACACATATTTTTAAATTTTCAAATTACATTACAGTATTTTAAGAGATGTTTAATGGATTTTTTTAATCAAAATAAATAAAAATAATAATAAATAAAGTCTAAATTGATACAAATGTTGAATTTTAATAATAAAATAACTTTTAAAAATAATAAAGTGATTTAAACTTCAGGTACTCCTATACTGATTGATTAACATTTTATTTTGTTGATGATATTGTGTTTAAAACATAACTATAATTAAGTTATTTGTGATTGACAATTATTTGATAATAGATTCATTTTAAAATTCAACAAAACCTAATTTTCTATTAAAAAAGTGACTAGGTGTTGCTAGTGACAAACAAGTTTTCTCTTTATATTAAATAAAATAAATATGAAAATTTAAAAAGAGTTAAAATATAAAATTAAATAAATTATTAAAAATCACTTAAACATGAAAAGTGCGGCAAGTGTTCATTACAAAAATTTTAGACATACCTCTAAATTAAGAGTTCATTACAAAAATAAGAGTTTCAATTAAGAGAAATCACATTAAAAAAATCAAAATCAAAATTTAGACATACCTCTAAATTAAACCACCACAAATTTAAATCATAATCAAAAACTTTTTCCTTAGTTTTTTACCATTTCAAACAAGAATTTTAACTTTTATCAAACAATTATTCAAGCGACTTCATTCTTTTTTCTAAACATCTATTATTATTTCCTTCAAAATACATAAGTTGATAGCCAACCAATATACATAAATATTTTTTTAATTTTTATTGAATAAGTGAAATCCACAAAAATAATGTGTATTTGTGACACATTATTATTATTATGAAGAACACATGACACACTTAATCATTTAATTGGTGACCATATATATATATATATATATATATATATATATATATATATATATATATATATATATATATATATATATATATATATATATATATATATATATATATATATATATATATATATATATATATATACCGTTAAAAAATGTGGTTGGACCTAACTCAACCTTACAAAACCGGTTGATAAAGAGAGGATTACACCCACTTATAAACACATGCTCATGTCATATATTGTCCGATGTGGGACTCTTAAATATATATATATATATATATATATATATATATATATATATATATATATATATATATATATATATATATATATATATATATATATATATATATATATATATATATATATATATATATATATATATATATATATATATATATATATATATATATATATATATATATATATATATATATATATATATATATATATATATATATATATATATATATATTAGTTTTGTAATTGGCAGCATTTTTGGTAAAACTTGGTGTTATCATAAGATGTCTTGTATGATGTCTTTACATGTGATCTTAACATTCTGCAGGTAGGAGTGAGCAAGGGACGGGTCGGGATGGGTTATGACTAACCCTAACCCTGTCCTAAATTTTGATCGGGTTACTTTAATGACCTTAACCCGTCCGTACCTAAACCCATAAAAATCCTGATAATATGTCATCATTTATTTCTCCTAAAACATAGTAAGAAGATGTAAAATAAAAAACATGATGTAACAGAACAGATGTGTACTTAGTATTTACTTAGTGCATATATTAAATTATGAGGTAAAAAATGGAAAAGTCTATTGAAAATTTGGAATAATCTAAATATACTAATAAATTAAATAAATAAATAAATAAATAGTATCACATGTCCATTCATAATATTAGGACGGGTTGGGTAACCCGAGGGTCAACCCGAACTCATCCCATCTATATTGGGTTGGGACGGGTCTTCGGGTTGGGTTGGGTTCTGCTCACCCCTATCTGCAGGTGGTTCTTTTTGTTATTGCAGGGTTTAGTTCATCATGTTAAGTATGATGTCCTGACATATGTTTACAGAACATTCAGTCAGAATGCTATATTTTGTTTGTTGCGTTTTTTCTGCAATCTTTTGTGTGTCTTTGCTAAGTGATTGCTTGCGCATATCAAGGCGTGACATTATTTGAAGCAAGTATATTTTGCTTCCTTTTGAAGAATGGTTTGTTGCTATTTTTTGTGCAAAAAGATATGGAGAATAATTAGCTTTAATTATGGATTACTTTTGCCCAAGCCCATGAAGAATAGTTTCTATTTAAAGATGTGATAACCCTACACGCAAGGTAGAGAGAACATTTTGAGAAAGTTGGGGTTTGTCTTTTGTTAGGGTTTGAGTCTTTTGGTAGTTGTTTTCTTGTGAGTCATTCATTCATCACTTTGATGTGTGAATTGGACTGAGTTCTTTGAGTTGTAAGTTGTCCACTCTAAACTTTTAAGCACGAGTGCATTGTTCTTGATTGAAGCTTTTAAGCAAGATCAAGTGTTGTCCTTGAAGTGTGTCTTCTACTTTTTGATCTTCTGTTTTTATCACTGCATGTGATTGAGGGGGAGTGAGTAGGGATGGCAATGGGGCGGATCGGGGCGGGTTTTACTATACTCGCACATGCACCCGCCTCCATGTAACACACCCGCCCCCGCCCCCAAACCTAATCGGGGGTAAAAATTTACCGCACAGACCCGCCCCCAGTAGAGAACGGGTGCACCCGCACCCACCCTGCCCCCACCCGCAAAAAAAATATTTCTTTTTAATTGTAATAAAAATTAATAATTTAATTAAAAAATTGATTATTTTAATAAATTAATTATTTATTTAATTAAAAATCTAATTAGTAAATGAATATTAATTTGATTAATTTAATTATTTTAATTGCAATAAAGGTATTAATAATTTAATTAAAAATATAATTAATAAATGAATATTAAAATAAGTAAAATAAGAGAATTAAACTAAAATGCATTATTCGGGGGCAGAGCGAGGCCGGGTGCGGGCGGGTCTTGGTGTCTCCCCGCACCCGTAATTAAAAGTTGGGTTTTCCCCGCACCTGCACCTGTACCCACTAAAACCGGGTTTTCCCCGCTAATTTCGGGGCGGGCCCCGACGGGTCTGGGTTTTTTTTGCCATGCCTAGGAGTGAGAGGTATCTCATATCTGAGAGTGTCTTAGATAGAAGTTACACGGGTAGAGATCAAGTGTGAAGATTGTAAACTAGAGAG